GAAGCATCGAGCTCAGGATCATCGAGCTCAGGATCATCGAGCACAGAAGCATCGAGCACAGAACCATCGAGCACAGAAAAATCGAGCACAGAACCATCGAGCACAGAAGCATCGAGCACAGAAAAATCGAGCACAGAAAAATCGAGCACAAAATCATCGAGCACAGAAACATCGAGCACAGAACCATCGAGCACAGAAGCATCGAATTCAACGAACACAAATGGAACGAACTCAGACAATACGAAGCCAAACGATACGAACTCAGGAGATTCCGAAAATTTTATGGGTAAACCAAATATCATCAATATATTGTAGTTTTTTAAATTATTTTAATTTTAGTTTATTATAATGGTATCAATTTATTTGCGAATAGAAATTTAAATATATTATATGTAAATTAAATTAATTAATTTGCTTTATATTTTTAGCCTATTTCAATAATAGAAATGAAAGGAAGCGTAGAAGTTTGCTCGGACGTTTTTCCTCAGAAATAAATGCACGCTCAAATGATACTGATTTCCTTTGTTATACTATTAAAAGTAAGATATTATTTTCAAATATATAAAACGTTGTTTTCTTTTTTTTTTTTTTTAAGATTTTATGAAAACGTAGAAAAAGCTTAAATTGTAATAATAATAATTTTTTTTTTTTGCAGATAATCAGCAAGAAATCACAGAAATGGGATGTACTACTACTGACGCTAATATTTGTAACAATAGTACTAATTGTAACGTATGTAAGGAAGATGGATGTAATTCGGCAACATCGAATGCTGTTTTCGCTTCTATGGTGTTCTCTTTGTCAATAATCATATTTTTCATGAAATAAATAAATTGTCAATTTATTTATTTTAAAGTATATTTTTTCGAGAATCAAAGATATCAATCGATTTTCTTCGTTTTTTCGTGATAAACATCGATATTGCTGAAAGTAACAAAATTTTATATATCATTATTTATAATGTCAAGATTCTATATTTGTATCCAATTGGCCAATAAAAACTTGTTTTATGTTACTTAAATTAAATTCAAACTTAATCAAACTAAAAATTCGATTTCTTTTATGCTGTTTGAATATCAGATCTGAGAAAATTAATTAATTGTAATTAATTTCCAATAAAATTCATAGATACGTATGATAATATGAAATAAAGACATTACACTTTGCGTTAAAAGTGAAATTAATTGTAAATGAAAGTTTATTAAGAATAGATGCAAAAATGGTTAATTAGTTGTTCAACGAACAGCCATAAGACAATATAAGAACAATGAACTCGATGCATTCGACACGTTCTAATCTTTTTTTCGAGCTTTCCAATGTAAATTTTTCGATCGTTAATTCTTATCATTACTTCTTCACGTGACGCGTTTCCAATTAATTGCACATTCTCTCGAAATTAAAATCCTTGTACATAAATAATTAATTTTCAACGATGTATTATGCAAAAATTAGAAAGAAGAGAAATGCGTTGTTTTCCGTTCTCATTGTTACAAATGCATTTAACAACTGTGAATAATGGAAGATCGGTGCATCGATGAAAGACGATTAAAACGAAACGAATGAGCAAGAAAGCAAGAAGGAGAGAATACGATAGAGAAGAGATGAAACGCGATTGCGCGTACGATATTCGGGCGTGCTCGTAACTGATGCGCTTGCCGCGCCTCCTCGCTGGGTTCGTCGGTAATTGTGGCGTTGCTCTCGCAAGGGAACGCGCGGCCGAGCAACTCGATTCGTTGGAACTGCGCCGCCCGTCCCCACAACTCTCGAGGAACTTCAGTCTACCGTCATCGTTCGCGAGTGTCGTTTCGATACGTTTGTCGTTCGCTTTCATTTCACGTTCTGTTATCTCTATTCTAACGCTATTACATTTCTTTTCGCGCCATAACGTGTTTTGTTCCCCTCTTCACGCGTTGCAAATCGAAAGAGAGGAAGAAAAAGAGGAGACGGGATATCAAACGCAAGCTTTCGAACGTGAATTTTTCCATCCTTTCGCGAATAATTAACGAAATCTAGTAAATTTTATTTATTTATCGGTGGATTATTCGACGCGTCGATCGATTTATCGAGCCATTATCACGCCACCATCGTCATGTATGATCGACGCATCTGAATTTTTATATCTTCCTTCCCAGACGTGAGACAGGATTTCGAGATTTTCGTCGATTATCGTACGAACGTAAGTACTTACGCATATGATTTTGTTCGATAAACATAACTTGTTGCCGTTTGGCGGGAAGTTTGGTGAACGTTTCGAAATGCCGATAAAACTTCTTACGTGGAGAACGAGTAACCTTGAGAAATGGCAGTTATATGAAAGTGGGAGTTGAAATTCGCGATGTATCATAGATTGATCGTACGTTGAAAGAATGAATATCGTTATTTGTTTCGAGATTGATTAAGTGAAAAATCGCATTCGAAAAATCGGAAATTTGCTTCCAATTCATTCTTCACTTACTTGTAACGATTCGATTTATTTCATACGAAAACGTACATTACAACTATGGTTGTGATGTACATTTCTGCTAATTGCAGCAACAATTATTTTTTAACTGCTTGTAGAAAATTAGAAAATAAAAAAAAAAGTTGACGTTCCGGCCACTAGCGCTGGTTCGATCGTCCGGACGCTGCACATAGCCACCTGTGCTCACTCTGTTTTGCTTCGAATTAGTTACAGCCTTTTACCGGTTTTCCCTCTTGCACGGTTACAAACAACTCATCCCAAAATCGAAGATTTCCGCTACGTTGAGCTCGTTAGGGCTCGTACGCGAATCTGTCTCTCCGCTTAGTTAGTTTCTACTAACGAGGATAACAACAAAGCGTTTCGTTAATCATGTATCGTCCTTGCGTTGCGCGCAGGAGTCGTAAATGCATTATTCGGTTCTCTAATGTTTTTTTCTTGCTTCTTGCAATTCCGTAAAAACAAGTAGAAGTTAATGCTCGAAAATATGTAATATTTCTTCTTCATAAGATATTTCGTGATCAATTGAAAACCTGACATAAGAAATTCAACCTTCCTAGACGATCATATGATCGTCCTTGTTATTTAAGGAAAGACGAATTCTTTTTGTTCACTCGATGAAGAAAAAGTCCGCTATTGGAAATCGGAACGCGGGAAATAGAGGCAAAAGGGAAAACGCGTATTCCGTATTCTCGTTGAACCACGCGCGTTCTTTCTCCTTCTCGAATTCTAGCGTTATGTTGCGTTAAATCGATCAGTGTCTGCGCGCAACACGCACCCCATTACAATTATTCATTTTCGCGCAATTCGTACGGCTGGATATATCTTCGCACCGTGAAAATTTGACTTGAATTTTGATTTAATTGAATCGGCTATGGAAAGATAGCCGTTCGATCGACAAAAATTATCAATCAGCCTTTCAAAAATGAAGAATTTGAAGGACAACCGATTACAAATGAAGGATGGATGGTTTAATTAATACGACAGGGAAGGAACTGCGGGATCATCAAACTAATCGAATCGAATATTAAATAATGTATACGTGAAAATTGGATTAGTATGTCATATATACGCTGCGTAGACGATTTCGATCGTTTTTTTAAACGTTGTATCGTAATTTCATTTTGCAATAAAGTGAATATCATTCTTCCACGTTGCTTCTTCCTTTTCGTTTCGTTTCCTTTCGATGCGTGTTTTGCTTCGAATACAATTCCTGGAAAAAAAAAAAAAGACATTTATCCTTATATATATATATGTAGATATTATACATATTATATGTAGATATTAAACATTTTCAAAGTCGCGTTTTTGAACAATGAATTTCACGTAGAGCTGTGCAAACAAGGGCGCGGGAATAATTTTATCAGTCGGTTCAAATAAATTTGTGCTTCGTCGTCGCGTTCGAATGCGGCCAACGATAACTTTCGATCTAGATCTACTTATTTAACATGAACGAAACTCGTTGTTAGGTGGCTCGTTTACCGTTAATACATGACACGAATACACAAGCTAAGACGATAAGATTGGATTCGATATATTAATATTTGATAGATATTCGAAACAACCAACAACTGTTGGCTACCTTTTTACATACGATCAGTCTTTTCTCGCTTTCGAATACGAGATTTGACGTCTCTTCCGCTTTTTGAAAAACCAACGAGTTCGACTCCTCTCGAAACCGTGACTCTTATCATTTGCTATTAATTTTCACCCTTTATCTCTCGAAGTTATATACGTTATGCTTGGTTCAAGGATCGAATTTTTGATCGAAAAAAATGATTCGATAAAAATTATTAAATTATTGCAATTTTATCGATTTGATTGGAAAGCATACACGAGTTATTGAAAATTTTTGAAGAAGAATTAATCGTTCTAATAAAACTCTATTTCTCGAATCTCGATTCTCAAAAATTGTACTATTTAGAAACTTTTCTCGTCAATTTCTTCTATCGTCATTCGTAATCGCAATGGAAGCCCAGCTAATAATAAACTATACTACAATTCAATAGCGATGTAATAAATTCAATGGTGTGCAAATAATTCGAAAGGAGATGACAATGATTGTCTGGGAGGAGGGGAGGGGGGAGGGGAAATCTCTATAACGAATTAATATAAAACGAATCCAATAAATTGAATGAATGAAAAATTTATATTATCAACATGTATACATGTTATTTCAAGTTACACAGATTTGTCGACGATTCGATAGATCGTAGATCGGCATCGTAGATCGATTAACCCTCTTGCCTCTTACGTTTAATCCAACTTATAAGAGCAGGCAATCCTGTGCTTAATACCTTTAGAATTGCTCCAATTCCTGCTTCTGGATCCTGAAGAAAAAATATACACGTTATATATAAAATCGAAATCATAAAATAAATAAATCAAATAAGAATCAAGTTTAATTTTGGATACGATCATCACAATTAATAA